AGAAGCAGCGGCGATTCGAATCGATTTGGCCCAGCTGGGGTTTCCTTACCACACAACATACGCAAGTCCCGGACCTACGTATATCAACCCTCACTCGGATCCTCCAGAACATGAACTGGTCTGCGCTACCCGAGAATACAGTACTCCACCTCCCTACGCCGTCCCGGACGGATTCACAGGATGGGTACACGCTACTCTCGCCATCTCCCACTCCCAGTGTGCAGTTGTCTTTTCACATAATGGAATGCCTAAGGGATCAGGCTTACCGGAGTATGTGGCTAGTACTACAAAGTCTCAAACACATACAAGCCTACAACGGATGGTCCTTAATCGACACAGGCGGGGCACTACGTCAAGACTCAAACTTGACACAAGCAAAGAGTCTGCTCGGTCTCAAATTAAATTCATGATCATCATTAAACCACAGGGCATTCCCTGGGTAAGAACATATGAAACCATCTTGCCGCTCAACTCTTATCCACTAAGCATGGTTAAGCATCATAAACTATTATTTTCATAGATAATCATTAATTATTCAATTTAATCACAATTGATTATCCAATGATGAATCATCAATCCATGTAATGCTTCAGAATAATATGAGGAACTTGTCATTAGAATCTTATTTGACAACTCTCATGAGAATTTTTACCACTATGAAATCAATATGTGATTTGGTGTTATAGGGATTAGATAGATGGTATCCCAATATCCCACTTGGTCGTATATATATATATTATATAATAATAAGTCAAAAGATCTTTCGGTTCCATATAGATATCTATCACTACAACATGAATAACCCTCTACCCAACATATACCTAGCTAGCAATAGAGACAATATTCTTTGTCGGTTGATCACGTGTCCCACCTCCCAAGCCTGTCGCCTAATAACTTGCTATGCCAGCTACAAACTCGGGAAGTCTGTAGGGAATATCATAATTAGTGGCGGCCACTCTTGACTCCTCATCTACCCCAACCTCCTTTCTACTCTAACAATACCTTCCTCATATGGACTTATTCCTTGCATCAGCTAGGTCCTTTAGGTCCGGTGGCATTGGGCAATCACAAGGAGGTGGCAAGATCTGATGGAGGATGGCACCACCTCTAGCATCTCTGATTCAGTCCAACCTAACCTAAGCCAGCCTACCACCTCTATCATCTCCAATTTGATCCAACATAGCCCAAGCCAGCCTGCATCTACTATGAAGACGACCATAGGTTTGACCTCTTCCTTCCTCTCGACTATTCGGTTTTATGTATTTCGATAGATCACGTTGTTGCATCAATTTCTGGCGTGGTGACCTATAGTGACCTAGGTGCGCATCACACCCACCATGCTATCCATAGCCACCTCGTCTCCCATGTTGGACTTAGCAACTTGACATTGTTCCCTTTGATCTACATTGTCATGTTATCCCTCTCATCCTCTGATTCCTTTCTTCATTGGCACAACATTTTGCTCACTATGTGTTTGATAGAATTCTTCTTAGAGAGCAATTTTTTCCACTAGTATTTTCCATATCATACCTTGGAGACTGTCAAATGATTCATGTTATTAGGGAATCTAATTTTTTTATTTAGTCAGGAGGAAATTTACCTATCTTCCATTTCTCTGAAAAACTCACCAAATTGGAGCCATACTACACTACATGGAGTCCTACATGCATTTTGTTTTAGGTTGTTTCCATAAATGAGAGCTACAACTTGTCATGTATTGTAAAATCTAGGGAAATGATCAGGTGAGAGGACCCTCTTTCATTTATGTTTGAATCAAACTATCATAGTGGAAATATTCTTTAGAATTCAGTTTGCTATCAAAACTGCTTGCTTCCCTGCAATATCCAGACATGTAGTGGTATATCAATTTATGGCTATTTTCTCATAGATAAGCAAACAAATTTACAGAATATTTCAACAGCACATCATGCATAGTTCAAAGAAAGCTACATATAGGTACTCAAGAATTTTAGCATATCTTTTTAAATTTAAATATGATGTATGTTAGATGTAGAGCTGGCAATGCATGGGTACCCAATAACCGAATAACCGGTTTCACCCGATAAAGAGGCGAGTATGGACAATTTTATGTACCTATGGGTATGTTATTGGGTGAAATCCTCTACCCGTCGGGTAGGTGGGTGCGGGTGTGGGATATACTACTATACCTGTCTTCCCATGGGTAATAAATAGCCGCATTAGATAACTAGCCATCCTACTCAAATGTTAATTTTATTATCTGCTTGTTGTTGAGTGTTTATTTATTTGTCATAAGATGATTTGCTCATGTCAAGTATGTGTATGTAATGTACTAATTTTGGACATTAGACGCTTTTGTGCTTGGCATGTATTATTAGTGAATGTCTAAATTGATGATATTCTTATGTGTTGAACCGGGTGTGCTTGTGGGTACGGGTCACCCGTCAGGTAATATTATCCGTGCAGGTATGACCAACCGACGGTGAAGTCGGTTTTCACTGTCAGATCGTTGTATGTTTCGCGATGATAACCATGCTACAGTATAATAAAATTTATAACTTTTCAAACAAAGTCGGATGAGAACAAATTTTATATGAAAGTTGTAGATCTCTAGTTGATGACCTTTTCATTTCAAATTTACTGCCCTAGAATTCTGTTTAAAAAGTTCTAAAAAAAGTTGAAATTCAATTTTTTTGAATTATACAAAGGACCTTAGATGGAAAAATGACCAGAAGCAAAGTTGTAGATCTCGACGAAGTCTACAACTTTGTAATTGATAACTTTTTCATTAGAAATCATTTATGGTCTCAAATTTATATTTAAAGCCGTAACATTTTGAAATTCAAATTTTTCATATGACCATGGATAGAAAATCTATCAAAACCAAAGTTGCATATCTCGATGAGAACTACAAATGTGTAGTTGGTGACTTTTTTCATTTGAAATCATTTCAGGTCCCAAAAGTATGGCTCAAGTTCGCACAATTTGAAATTCAAATTTGTCAAAATGACCACAGCTGGCGAAACGACCAAAAACCAAAGTTGTAGATCTTGATTAGAACAATAAATTTGTAGTTGATGATTTTTTTATTTGAAGTCATTTAGGGTCCTAAATATCCATTTTAAAATCCTAAAAAGTGAATACTAAAGGAATAGATATGCCATATAAACACAAGTGACTTGAGGTGCAGTGGTTAGAGGAGTTACGCACGAGGACACCTTCTTAGGTTCAAACCCCATCACCGCACAACGCACGTATTTTCGCATGAAAAATCATGAGACTTGTGACTTCCCATGATTAAAACAATTTTTTTTGTTATTTTTGGGCCTTTTTGGATTTCTAGAAACCATCATTGCCAACGGTTTGTGTTGCTAACCATCAGTGTAACATATTATCCAATTTACAGTGATGACCATATCATCACGGTCGACAATTCACCGTCGAGGGCCAAAGTGGCGGTGATGGGGGACTACGAATCGACTATGATGGCCTGTCTGTGTATGACCTTTAAAATCCATTGGTCCAAGCTTTACTTGCTCTTCATTGTCACCTTGGTCCATCGACACCAAACTCTCTACTCGCACTTCACTGCAAACTCTCTACTCGCACTTTACTGCAGTAATGATCTATCATACCTGAGTCCCATTGTAGCCTAGCATTGCTTAGCATTCACCATCTTGCCGTACAAAACTAATGTTCTCCTTATTTTTAATGATCTTCACTTCATCACTTGGATCATCATCTCAATCTTTTCGTCTCCTCAACTCTTCACTTAGTTGATCCTCTTACCACATTATCAGCACCATTTCCACCTTATGGTCTTCATGTTGCTCAACATTACTCGTGGACTAAAACCTTTCGTCTCAAATATGAAAATATTAGTGTACTATTATTGTCACTCAATAACCGTAACCAAACAGGATCTTTCAATGTCTCCCTCTCTCTCTCTCCCACGTAGAAAGAAATGATGGCATGGATTCCTTCTTTTTATAAGAGCAGGTCCAGTGTTCAGCAAAATCGAATTGTGGCGCGTATAAATCGAACCGTATACGCTGGAGCAGTCGAATTTTAGATGTTAGAAGAAAAATCGGTTGTTGCAGACGGCGCGAACCAAAGATGAATTTGAAAATAATATCTGCTACTGATGGAGAGGGAAGCTCGCAGAAGAATAGGAAAAGCACATCGGTGGCAGCGCAGTAGGAGAGAGAGCATTTGTTTTTCTTATATTTCTCTCTCCGTGGGGGCCCATCAGACGATTTAGCACTATGGCCCTCGAACGGTTAGCCACGTTGGCAGTCGATTGCACACTGCGTGTGCCCTAAGATAACAAAGCTACTCCATCTATTCTCTTTTATAAAGCATAGCTTAATATGACATGCTTTTCGAAATTACACTTTTAACCATCTATTTATTTTATTTTATTTTATTTTATATTATTTATATTTATAAACTTATGATATTTGGATAGTAGATTTAATTACAAATCTAACTATATTAAATTTATGTTATAATAATTAAGTCTATTACTTAAATTATTGATCAAAGATTTTGAAGTTTAAATTTTAAAATGCGATAAAAAAGAATGGAGTTAGTAATATTATTGGAGGTATATATTTACTTGGAGTCGTGTAAACCCAACTGTAGAATGGACTCGTGTAAACCCAACTGCACACACAAAAAGGTAAAACCTGCTTTTCATTACAACATGGAGGATGGAGCCCTCTGCTGCAGAAGGAAAATAAGGGCACAGTCGGCACTCCCATTTTTCCCTCTCACCAATTCCTCCCCGGGGTCCGGGCCGAGCCGCCGTTCCAATCCGGTGGCGTGGCCACCGCTTACGCCGCCTCTCTTGCTTCCTCTCCCGTTCGCGCCCCCGCTCCCACGCTTCGCCGCCTGCTAGCGCTCCAGTTTGATGCTGGTGACCTGATCCCACCGTTGGGTAGGTTCGTGCGCGCGGAAAGAAGAACGAACTCGTGGTGGGTCCGGGTCCGCAAGACCCTAGGTGTTCGTCAGCAGCGAGGATGCCCGGCCTGCCTCTGCCTCAACCGTTAAATCAGTAAGTGGATAAATGGCTCAGGGGAGAGATTACGCGTGGGTCCGCCGCCCGCCGGAAAGAAACTCTGTTTGGGCAGGCAGCGAGAGATTGTGGCTCAGTGCCTTAGTGAAGTGCATAGCGATGCGTCTTAGTTCGTGTATAACGACCGGTCAGGTAGTGAGAAAGAAACTCTTGTTTGTAGATGGCTAATGTAGGTATAACGACCGGTGGCTTTGTTGGTTCTGGATCTTGCCACGCCCGTTTTCTTGACATAGCCACGCTTGTTTTGCACACTACTCCCTCCATTCCATATAAGACGTTTTGGCTCGTCTAATACATTGCTTTATCTATGTCTAGAGACATAGTGTATATGTATATCTAAGCGCATAGCAAAAACCATGTATCTAGAATAGCCAAAACGTCTTATAATTTGGAATGGAGGGTGTGCTTGAATTACCACCTACAAACTTAAAGAAAATATTTACATAAAGAGGTATACATTGAGCAATTCTCGCCATGCTCGGATCGTGTTCTGTGTTTTGAAATAGAAATAGGTAGTCCAGCTGCTTTGTGGATGCACAATTATGGACATATTGTGGTTCTTGATCTTCAAGTGAGACGGAATGCATTCTGTTGTTATATGCAAGTTGTGCTTGTATGTAGGAATATTGGACGTGAATATGCTTATCCTGGGTCTACAGGCCAGGCCTTCCGTCAGCAGCTAAGAACTGCATTGTCTCCGGATGAGAAACTTGCTGCTGAAAGAGATTTGGCTCTGTATTGCAAGCCAGTCGAGCTCTACAATATTATTCAACAGCGAGCTGTGAAAAACGTAAAGTTTATCCTACAATTATGCTCCCTTCTTTCAACATTGTACACATGACCATACTTACTCTGCAGTAACCGTAACCATTATGTGCAATTGATTTGAGATACCAATGATGGTTCCCTGAATTTTGCAGCCCCTTTTTATTCAAAGATGCCTTCTTTACAATATACACGCGAGGAGGAAAAAGAGGTTTGAACCTTGAATGGACAGTCATGCATTTAAATGTTTTCATCCTAAGCATATATTGTTCCATCTTGAGCTCAGCACCTTATTGTCAACTACTTTAGTAAATCCTCTCTATTTTATGTCATAATATCATGGTTGGTGGGCCCAGCCATGTATGCACAACAAACAAATTTATTTATTGGGATGATCAGTTTCATTTGCTATTTCCTTATTGCTATGAGTAAGATTTCCCCTGATGTTTTAGACCAAGGCCATAGTACCCCCTGCATTTATATGCATAGGATGCTCTATTTTATAGTCTGTCTCATAGCCCCCTGAGTCACTCTGGTTAAAGCCATGCAGTTTGGGTTTTTCCCGCATTCTATTTATCAGTACGAACTAAGGTTCATGAAATTCGTGTATTTTTCTTTAAATTTCATTTGGTACCTGACATAGATTTATGGATTGGGAAAGTTGCAAATTCGCCACTCAGTTGACATCCTATTTGGGATTTTCCATTATAAAAACATGAATTGCAAAACTGCCACTAAGGCCCATCAAAATCAGTTCGGTTTGCCACTATATTGCAGTCATCCTTTGTGTGTGTGAAATAATATAGTGAAATTGTTAAAAACACAGGCATTAGAAGTAACAGAAGTGGCCTCATGTTCTCCCTCCATCGTTGCTTAATCTATCTCCTCCCTCTCAGTCTCTTCAACACCATTGCCCAGATTGAAGCTACTTCTCTGGTGAACCCTGGGAGAGTCCAATGAGCACTAACCAGTCACTCTGCTATTTTGTGGTCGTGCGTTCTGGCTTTCTGCTGCTACCACTTGCCTGTGTCTTCTACTCAATTGGTTACTGCTTGACGCCTCAGCCAGCCGCTGTGGCTACTGGTCTCACTGCTTCATTGTTCACTCGCTGCTGCAGCTTATCCCTCATGGTGCACTCGTTTTGCAGCGGTAGGCGCATATGCACTGCTGCCAGTGAGTGAACGTGAGGTGACGCATAGGAGACAGCAAGCCAGGGGCCTTGCAGCAGCAAAAAGAGGGGCATTTTGGTCTGATGAACAGTGTTAGTTTGATCTGTGAACCAGATGGCAGGTCATATGCAATACAAAGCATTCTCTTTTTTCCCCAGAACAGGGTGACCCAAATTTCATTACTGCTAAGCAATGAAATTACAAGAAACGGTACAATGATTAACGCGTTCAAAAGTCTTTCCAACCCACATTAGCACCCGAAACCAAAATGATGCTGTAAATGGCCTGACGGCACACAGGGCCAAGAACTGAGCAGCACACCCAGACTACTGCGAACACGAAAGCAAAACAATGCCATTACAATCCAACATCCTGGAAAGACGAGACAACTAACAACTGAACATAATCTAAACTGCCACCATCTAGTCTAAAAACAGCAGCGCACAGACATGCACTCTAGCATCTATCTTCCAGTTCCCAAGGTGTTCAGATGGCGATGAGGTTAAGCCACCAAACCCTTTGGCCTGTTAGAGCTTGCTCCATGCGTGACCCCTGCATCTGCTCAATTGGAGGAACTTTAGGGCAATTTGCTTCAAAGCTTCAGGTCCCTCCTCCAAAGCTTATGGGTTTTCCTGCTTCCGGAGACCTGCCTAGTATGATAGGAACGAACATAATGAACATATAATCTCAGTAGGAGATTTGGTTATTTTCTTCTCAAAGCACACATCTGTTCGTTTCGTTGAAAAGCCAAGTTGAAAAGTACTGTTTGCTGATTTGTTGTGAGAGAAAAACACTGTACAATTGCTGATAAGCCAGGCTGATAAGTTCAAGCGAACAGGGAGGGCCCAACATACAGCAGCTAAATGAGCAACATGGAATTCTTTTCCAGTTGGTAAGCACAGAATCACCCTGGTCCAGAATTGTTCAAAAGAGCTTGGCCTACAGTTTAACCAAAAGCGTGTGCAATAGGCTACAGATGAATTTAGCTAGAGGGCAATCAAAGAACAAGTGATTAACACTTTCTTTTTCACAATGAAAAAGCACAAGATTCATTTCTTTGCCATTTTCATTTTAGAATCTTTTCTCAGAGTCTTACCGCCTGGTGCAAGCGGTAGAGTCTTACCGCCTGTGACCGAAAGGTCCCGGGTTCGAGTCGCGGTCTCCCCGCATTACACAGGCGAGGGTAAGGCTGGCCACTGACACCCTTCCCCAGACCCCGCACAGAGCGGGAGCTTTCTGCACTGGGTACGCCATTTTTTTTTAATCTTTTCTCAGAGTACCATTCTGCAAAAGTTAGCGACAAAAGATTTTTAGGGGGTATTTTAGCTTTCCGAATCCATTTTTTATGGGAGCCTATAGTCAGAGCTGCACAAATGACTGTACATTGATTTGGCAGAGAATTTACCAGATTTTTCCCAAAGCCATTTTGCTTTGTCAGGCGCATCACAAGAGAAGAGAATGTCTATCAGCCTTCTTAACTGAGTTTGTAGGTTCTCATCCAACCACCTTAAAGCTTGATCGTTACTGATCTCATAAGAATCAGGAAATTTTGTTTCTGAAGGATATAGCCCCACACCAGATATCATTCCAGAAATTAGTGGTCTTCCCATTTCCAAATAATATTTCTTCAAGTTTCCACCTTGCCAAAAGAAGCGTTTTCTAGTTTCATCGACACTCTTAATAAAGTTTAGGGAGAAGTACATGAACAAGCAGTAAGTTGGCATACTGCTAAGACTGGACTGAATTAAGATAGTTCTGCCGCCTTACAGAACCACACCGCCATCCTTCTAATCTCTTAATCATCTTATCATCAAGCGGTAGCCAGTCCATAGTGTGCAGTTTTGCACAATACTAGGCATTCTAGGTGCAATTCTGCGATTAGGTTTTTTGGATGGCAAACATGTTGCAAATCACCCTATAGATTACTGACTGAAGCTTTGCTTATAACCTGCATATACGTAGTGGTATATACTACTCTCTTATCCTAAGGATGGATTGAATCTTCTGGAATCATATGGTTGGAGTTGCAGCCATTCTTGTTATGTGGGAAATCTTTACCTTTTGTTGCTCTGGATGCTCCAGTAGCTAAGGCAAGCAATTTTCTCTGATTTATGCAGTTTTGCTATTCAAGAATAGAACTGTTTTTTTTTTCTCAAACTACGCAAGAGAGCTGCGTATCATTTCATTAAGGTAGAAGAAAAACATGAGTCTGGTAAGAATAGAACTGTTCACAATGTCAATTTGGTTTTCAAGCACATATGCTGGTGCAGCAATCCAAACACAATCCTTTTAGTTGTTTTTGGTTTGGGGATAAGGTGGAACGGGGACGGTTCCATCCCAGTTTTCTAGGATGGAACGATTCCATCTCAACTTTTAGTTATGGTATAGCACTATATGTCTGCAATTCTTTGTAAAGCATAAAAGAAATCGGAATAGCGGATCTGCCAAACAAGAGAAAAACATCTAAATTTATGTCAGGTGGAATTTTTATGATAAAATTGTTTGCACTGTTGAATCACAACCCTGTTCATTCTAAATATTTTCCTTTGTCTGACTGACTGTATGTATCAATGCAGGATTCAGATAACCATATCACTTTCTAGAAGTACAAATACTGAGTTGCAAGCACATTATATCTTTCCTCTTTATGTTCTGTTAGCTAGACCTACTAGTAACCTTTCACTTGAAGGGGTAAGTCTAGCCTTCTTCAGTTTGTGAAGCCAGTGGTTTTCATGCTTGTCTACCAAATGACCTCATTCTTATCTATTATCCTATTTTGCAGCATTCTCCAATTTATAGATTCAGTCGGGCTCGCTTGCTTACTTCTTTTAGTGAACTTGGAAATAAGGACAACAGTGAAGCCACATTCATCATTCCTGATGTGAAGAGTTTGTCAACCTCCTGTCCTTGCAATCTTGACATTATCTTTATTAGCTGTGGTACAGTGCACATCCCATATGAGTTCTTTTTTTTTCCATTTCTGTGCCATCATTAAATTATTTTAATCCAAAAGGGCAAGTCGGACAAAGTAATGGTGAAGATAACTGCTCTGGGAACCATGTGGAAGGTTCTTCTCTCCAGAGTAAGTTTATGTTGACATTTTGAGCAGACATTATGTGATTTCTTTTCCAACAGGATTAATGTTAACAGGCTCATTTGTTGTGAGTAGCTGTATTTATCTTTATTCATGGCAAGAGGATCTCTAATGTCATCGTGGCTACTTTATGAACATATAGTTTAGAACATGTGTATTTAATCAATTTCTTAAGAATATTTGCTGACGCTTAAGCTGAAAAACTAAGCTGAGATTTGTGTTCCTATTGATTGGATTAATGACCATCCATGTCGTGCATTTTAACAGTGCTTGAAGGGAAATGCTCCTGGGGTAAAATACCGACTAATTTACTTGCTTCGTCTTTGGAGAGTTGTGTCAATTTAAGTTTGGGACATATTGTGGAGTTGGCATCTAAAGTTACAATGAGACCAAGCTTCTTAGAGGTATGTCAAATTGATTCCCCCCTTGTAGTATTTAAGATTCACATTCCTAAAGCATCGATTATAATGTCAACTTGCTTGGGATTAAAAGGCTTTATTGTTGTTTTATGCATGCAGCCAAAATTTCTGGAGCAAGACAGTTGCTTGACATTTTGCTCTCATAAGGTTGATGCTGCGGTAAGGTCTCCTCTATTTGTTACATTTATGTTTAATATGATTTTGTCCAGGGGTCTCCATGTTTCCCTTATTACTAATGCTACTAATATGTTCTTTGAGTCCAAGATTAGTGTGGCTTGTTGGAGTATGTGTGTATTAAGGCCCATATGGCCCATGTATGACTCCCATATAGCTACCCTTCTAGGGTTAGCCCAAAGGCTAAGGAATCACAATTCTATCATGGCTAACAGGTAAATGCATCGCTTGCAACTGCCAGTCCATTGGATGAATACATTCAAAACATGCTTTACTTCTACCAGACACTTCAATGCATCACAAGTTCAGGAATTCACCTTTGGGCATACACTGCCACTGAATGCGCTATATCCACTTTTCCATGGAATTGCTGGAAAATGGCTTTAGCGTTCAATTTAAAAAATGCCCCAAACTTTTGGCAAAATTATTTCAATTTTTATGAGGGGTAATAAACTTGTGAAGGGGGGAATTTATAAGCTTTTAGTTGTTGCTATTCTGCAGTACAAGAGCATGGGATCAGATCTATTGTGTCCCACTTTAGAAACCTGAGTTGAGCACTTGAGCTGCTTGTTTCTTTTTGTGGTGCTGGTGGTTGGTTGGAGGTGTAAGGGGGTTGGCACAGTCAAAATTATTAAGCTTTATTTGTTGCAGGGTTCATATCAGCTACAACTATGCATGTCCGCACAAGAGGCTGGTGCAAGAGACATGTCTTTGTCTCCGTATAGTAGTTACTTATATAATGATGTCCCACCTTCGTCATTATCAGATATCATAAGGTAACCAATAGCTCATTTTCATAGTTTAACAGATTCTATTTTTTTCTTTATTCTTGTTGTGTGTTTCATCATTATAAAAGTTTCTGACCAGCTCATTTAATCACCGAATCAGTTTTTCTCTCCCATGACGGGTGAGCCCGGATTTTATTGTTTGAAAAGCAACGAAATTACAGTTGCATCCCATTTGTTCTAACGTTCGCACCCCTTTGCGCACTGAGTGCAGATTTGGCGCGGGGGCGGTTCTCGCTAGCTAAAATGCCATGTTGCAATGTTTCAAAAGTCATCACAAAAATCATGTATGTGGTACACATAAAGTTAACTATAGCCACAGCAATTCAGTTTTAAAATCATCCTATATGTCAAGAAACAAAATAGACAAGCAGTTAACCTGGCACTGTTCATCATGTGCTGACAGTGACACTTTTATTTTGTAATCTCAAGTTCTCAACATCAAAGATGAATTTCTAACTGAATTGTTGCAGCTACACTTAACTTTAGGTGTACTACATACATGTTTTTGTGATGATTTTATTGAAACATTGCAAATGATATTTTAGCTATAGAGGGTGCCAGCCCCCTTGGGCACCATATGATTTTCCTCTTGCGTAATGCCAAATACTAATGAAATACGGACAACTGCTGCAATCGACCTAAAGCACATAAGGCCCAGCCGACACAGCCCACGCACCACTATGCACACCCACTGACCCACAGGATACTCAGTTATAAAAGTTTTAGACACAATTCACAAAGAGCTATGCAAAATGACAAGATCTGCCGCACTATGCAGAGTCGCCAGGATAGCTATATCTTCCATGCTTGTGACAACTGCCCTCGACCACTTCAGGCCGCCAAACCTTCTTGGTTTGCCAGCATGATCCATGCCTGCTCCTTGAGTTGACGCCTGATGGTAGGCTTGGCCTCCTGTGTTGGAACTGCAATGCCATTTCCTTCAGTGCTTCAGCACCCTGCTCTAGATGCTGCTGATTCTCCAGATTCTGAAAACCTGCCCTATATGTAAGGAAGGCACATGGTGAACACAAAATCTCAGTAGGAGATTTTATCCTCTTTTTCTCAAAATAAACATTTTTTCTGGCTCGCATATAGCCTAACAGACAGCTGCAAAGACAACAATGGCAAGCACAAGAATTGCTCAAATGAGTTTGATTATACATAACAAGGCGGGTTATTCCTTTCGTATGATCTAGTGTAGTTTCTAGAACTCTAGCATGCTTTATTGTTTACCCATCTTTATATGGTTTTGACTCATCTGGCCTGTTTGTTTGGGCTGCTGGCTTTTAGCTTCTGGCTGTTGGCTTTTGTAATAAATTTTACCTTTTCAGCACACCAAAAGCCAAAAAAGCTTCTCAGAACATGCTTTTAGCTTTTAGTTCATTTCCTTAGAAGCCAGCTTTCTGTAAGACATAATCTGCTGCTCCCCAAATCTCTCTTCTCAGCAGATTAGGAGTTGGGAGCTGGTCAGCTCGGCTGTCCATTCCTTGCTGTTGTAGCTAGTAAGGCAATAGGCCATCTAGTACATGTAGTTGATAGCTAATACATTAGCCATGTCTTGGTAGTGGGCTAATCTAAGCATTGTACTGTTAGTACTAGGAGTAGTTGGGGCTATACTCAGCCATACCTAAGTGTACCTGGTAGAGGTACATGAAGTTGTATATATACCATCTCAATGCAAATGGAAAAGGGTAGTTTAGTTGTCACAAACCAGAAGCAGAGCTTCGGCCAGTGCTGGTGCTTGTGTTGTGTGTGTGTTCCTGAGCTCAACCCTTTCTTCTACCTCTAGCCAAGTGAGTATGCTGGTAAGCTAGTTGCTTACCTGTGCAGGGCAGCAAGGGACCAACAAGTGGTATCAGAGCCGTACAGGTTCGCCTGCGTCGCCAGACTAATTGCTGGCAATGGCACCTGGCTCGGAGATGGGCGACAGCAGCAGAGCTGTTGCAGGCGGCAGTGTTGCCGGAGCTGCCCAGCCACGACAGGAGGTCGTTGTGCGCGCGGTGCGGGAGGTCAGCGGCACTAGTTGGCCGACGTTGACTCGCACCAACTATGGCGAATGGGCGGTGACCATGAAGGTCAAGCTCAGAGCCCGACGGCTCTAGAATGTCATTGACAAGGGCACCGACAATGAAGAAGACGATATGTCGGCGATTGAGTTATCCTCGCTGCTATGCCAGCAGAGTACAGGGAGTCGCTGGGGACGAAGAAGTTTGCTAAGGAGGCTTGGAAGGCCATCGCGGCCATGCGCGTCGGCTCCGATCACGCAAAGAAGGCGATGGCCTAGTTACTGAAGCAGGAGTACGCCAACTTCAAGTTTCGCGACGGTGAGTCGGTGGAGGACTTCTCCCTCCGCCTGCAGTCGCTCATCAGCAAGCTGGGGAGCCACGGTGTCACCATCAACGAAGAGGAAGCGGTCTCCAAGTACCTCCACTCCGTGCCCGTGAAGTACATTCAGATCGCTCTCTCCATATAGACGATGCTAGACCTATCCACCCTCACCATTAAGGATGTGACTGGCCGTTTGCGGACGGTAGACGAGCGCATGGAGCAGGCCACGGCAACGACGGACAGCGGCAAGCTGCTGCTGACAGAGGAGTGGGTTGCCCGGATGAAGGAGAAGTCCGGGGAAGCCTCCAGCCGCGGTTAGGGCTGGACAAAATATTCGCGGCTCGCTAACTCACTCGACTCGTGTCCGGCTCGGCTCGTTTTAACTTTTTCACGAGCTGAGCTGGAAGTCTAGCTCGCTGTTTTAACGAGCTAGCTTGCGAGCTGCTCACGAGCTCAAACGAGCTGAGGCCTATCAGCCCACGACCATGAATCCAGAAGATGATGATGCTGACCTAGAAGTGTATACCTATTCCATTGATATGTAATCCTTATTTTTAGTTGTTTTGTATGAATTTTGATTTTATAATTGTTGTGGTACTTAAATGTTGATTTATGGATTGTTTTCTAGAGAGAAGATGATGATGCTGACATTGAATTTGTGGACTTTTCTAAGTCTGTGGTGGCAAGTAACTAGTAAGTATGCTGGAACTGCATGGATCATGGATGGACCAGCTATGTTGCATGGTTGATACTTTTGATGAACTTGATATGTATTAATTATGTATGGTTGCATAATGGTGGACGTCACCTTCTGGAATTGTTGTGGCATGAACATTATAAACATGCGTGTCCTATTTTTTTTAAGTAGCTCCCCTAAACGAGCCAGCTCGAGCTCGCTAACGAGCCGAGCTGAGCTGCCCCTCTAGCTCGTAATATTAACGAGCCGGCTCGATATCCAGCCCTAGCCGCGGTGGCGATGGCAAGAGCCGCTGCAAGGCTTCTTCGGAGAAGAAGATCGACCCCAATGCATGCCGGCACTGCGGGAAGACGGGCCACTGGGCAAAGGAGTGCCCAAACCGCAAGTAGGAGAACAAGGCCGAGGCTCATCTGGCGTAGGCTGCAGATGATGATGAGGCCACTCTCCTGATGACGTCGTTCTGTACACTGCACGACGTCGAAGGAGAGGAGAAAGCAAAGGAGGTGGCGATGGCGGAGCAGGGGAAGGCTCTGAAGGTTGTTGACCTCGACGAGCCGTGCGCCCAAGTCCACCTCGGACGTGTGGGCGGCGAACAGGAGCAGAAGTGGTACGTGGACTCTGGCGCCAACAACCACATGACGGGCTCCAAGGCGGCTTTCTCCGAGCTCGACGGGAACGTGACCGGCACGGTGAAGTTTGGCGATGGCTCAAGGGCGGCGATCCGAGGACGTGGCAGCATCATCTTCAGGTGCCAGAACGGCGAACACCGCGCGCTGACGGATGTGTATTACATCCCGCAGCTGCGTTCATGCATCAACATTGGGCAGCTAGATGAGCGCGGGAGCGAGGTGTTGATCAAGGACAGCATCCTCAGGATCAGGGACCGGGGGCAACGGCTCCTCGCCAAGGTGAAGAGGTCCCGGAAGCGGCTGTACCTGCTTGACTTGAAGGTAGAGCAACCCATCTGCCTAGCGGCACGGCGCACGGAGCTGTGGCTGTGGCACGCCCGGTTCGGCTATCTTAGCTTCGACGCTCTTGGTCGGCTGGAGAAGATGGTGCGCGGGCTGCCTCACATCGAGCACGCAGGCGAGTTGTGTGACAGCTGCCAGGCCGGGAAGCTGAGGAGTTTGTCGTTCCCGAAGACGGTGAAGTACCACGCGGCAGAGGCCCTCGAGCTGGTCCATGGTGACCTCTACGGGCCGATCACGCCAGCGACGCACGGCGGGCGCAAGTACTTCATCTTGCTCGTGGATGACTACAACAGGTACATGTGGTTGCAGCTCCTGACGAGCAAGAGCGAGACGGTGGAGGCGATCAAGGCACGCGCGGAGGCTGAGTCCGGGAAGAAGCTGCGCGTGCTGAGGACGAACCGTGGCGGCGAGTTCACGTCGGTGGAGTTCGCCGCATACTGCGCAGATCAAGGGGTGGTGCGCCACCATACCACGCTGTACTTGCCGTAGCAGAATGGCGTGGTGGAGCGGCGGAACCAGACGATGGTCGGCATGGCGATGTCGATGATGAAGGCCAAGAAGATGCCTGCGGAGTTCTGGGGCGAGGCGGTGACCACGGCGGTGTTCATCCTCAATTGCGCGCCCACCAAAGCCCTAAAGGGCAAGATGCCATTCAAGGCTTGGCACAGGCGCAAGCCGAACGTGTCGTTCCTCCGGACGTTCGGGAGCATCGGCCATGTGAAGAACACAAAGCCTTTCCTCGCCAAGCTAGAGGACAGGAGCACGCCCATGGTGCTCTTGGGCTATGAGGAGGGCAGCAAGGCCTATCGGCTCTACGATCCCAAGGGAGGCAAGGTAGTGATCTCCAGGGACGTGGTGTTTGACGAGATGGCGGCCTGGGATTGGGAGGTGTCAGGCATGGGGGAAGCCGGTGGCGTCAGCGGCACTTTTGTCGTCGAGCACCTGGTTATCCAAGGAGGAAGGGATGTTGGCGCTGAGGAGCAGGCTGCGGATGGGCTAGGTTCGGCAGCTAAGGCGGCCGAGGAGGAGCCGCCAAGTCCGGCCACGGCGGGCGCGGGCGAGCAATCTCCACCAGCAGCGGCGCACTCGCCTCCACCTCAGTCCCCTACTTTGGCAGGACAGGGGACGCCTCCGCTCGAATTCACCTCTCCGCTCACCGACATCGACGAGTACGTGGACGCCTTCCACGATGGCGAGGAGGTTCGTTTTTGCCAGGTGGACAACATCGTCGGCGACGGGGGAGCTCTTGGGTTGGCCAGTCGGCTTCTCGACGACCCAGAGCTGCTCCTTGTCACGCAGAGGAGCCGCCCACGTTCGCGGTAGCTGAACGCAACGCAAATTGGCGTCGGGCGATGCTGGAGGAGATGAAGGCCATCAAGGACAACCAGACTTGGGAGCTGGTTGAGCCGCCGGCGGGCTGCAGGCTGATTGGGCTCAAATGGGTCTACAAGGTGAAGCGGGACGAGCGCGGCGCCATCGTCAAGTACAAGGCTTGGCTCGTCGCTCGTGGCTTCGTCCAGCGCGAGGGCATCGACTTCGAGGAGGTCTTTGCTCCGGTGGCGCGCATGGAGTCCGTCCGCCTGCTGCTGGCCATGGCAGTGGCAAAGGATTGGCGCGTCCACCACCTCGACATCAAGTCGGCATTCCTCAACGGCGAGCTCGCGGAGACGGTCTTTGTCAAGCAAGCTCCGGGCTTCGCCGTCAAGGGCCCAGAGCACAAGGTACTCAAGCTGCGCAAGGCGCTCTACGGGCTTCGGCAAGCCCCGCGGGCGTGGAACGCCAAGCTCGACGCCACCTTGGGCGAGCTTGGGTTCACTCGCTGCGCCACGGAGCACGCGCTCTACACGCGGCGACAGGGAAGGAGGAGCTCATCGTTGGCGTGTACGTGGACAACCTGATCGTCACCGGAGCGCGTGTGGAGGACATCGACAGCTTCAAGCGCGAGATGGCTCGTTTCAAGATGAGCGATCTCGACGCGCTCTCCTACTACCTCGGCGTCGAGGTGAGGCAGGGGAAGCAGAGCATCTCCCAGGGCTAGCGCGCCTATGCGGAGAAGCTGCTGGAGCGTGGCGGCATGGCGGAGTGCAAGCCGTGCGCGACTTCGATGGAAGAGCGGTTGAAGCTGCCCAAGCACAGCACGGCGGCGAAGGTAGACGCGACGCGCTACCGGAGTATCGTCGGCGGGCTGCGCTACCTCACGAACACTCGGCCGGACATTGCGTTCACGGTCGGGTACGTCAGCCGATTCATGGAGGACCCGCGCGAGGATCACTGGACGGCGGTGAAGAGGCTGCTGCGCTATGTCAAGGGGACGCTCGATCAAGCGATCATCTTCCCCAAGCACGGCGATAAGGGTGGGCTGCGCCTCACGGTCTTCAGTGAGGCACCCCCCAAAACAGAGGAAGGTGAGCCAGAGCTCACGGTTTTCAGCGATGCAGACATGGCGGGCGACATCTACGGGCGACGGAGCACCTCTGGTGTGCTTGTCTTCCTTGGAGCGGCCCCCATTGTTTGCCAGTCGCTGAGCAAAAGATCGTGGCGCTGTTGACATGTGAGGCTGAGTATGTCGCAGCGGCCACGGCGGCGTGCTAGGTTGTCTGGCTGCGTCGGCTATTAGGCGAGCTGACTGGCGAGGAAGCTCACCCGCTAGCTCTGATGGTGAACAATCAGCCCACCATCGCCCTCGCCAAGAACCCTGTCCTCCACGACCGGAGCAAGCACATCGACATCAAGTTCCACTTCCTCTGGGACTACGTCGATGGAGGGTAGATCGTCATCGAGTTCATCGAGATCGGCAGACAGCTCGCCGACATCATCACCATGTCACTCGGGCGCCCGCGGTTCATGGAGCTGAGGAAGATGATTGGCATGGATGAGGTCAAGGCTTCGGAGTTAGCAGCAGGATTAGGGGAAGAATTGTAAAACATAATCTGCTGCTCTCCAAATCTCTCTTCTCTGCAGATTAGGAGTTGGAGCTGGTCAGCTCGGCTGTCCATTCCTTGCTGCTGTAGCTAGTAAGGCAATAGGCCATCTAGTACATGTAGTTGGTAGCTAATACATCAGCCATGTCTTGGTAGTGGGCTGATCTAATCATTGTACTGCTAGTACTAGGAGTAGTTGGGGCTGTACTCAGCCATACCTAAGTGTACCTGGTAGAGGTATATGAAGTTGTATAAATACCATCTCAATGTAAATGGAAAAAGGGCATTTCATTTGCCACAAACCAGAAGCAGAGCTTCGGCCAGGGCTGGTGCTTGTGCTGTGTGTGTATTCCTGAGCTCAACCCCTTCTTCTGCCTCTAGCCAAGTGAGTGAGTGTGGTGGTAAGCTAGTTGCTTACCTGTGCAGGGCAGCAAGGGACCAACACTTTCCAGCTTCTGGCTTCTAGCTGGTAGAAGCTAGCAAAAAGCTGAAACAAACAGCCAAATAGGCCCTCAGTAATGTTTGTGTGCTTCGTCCATTAAATGTGACTATTGCTAAAGCAAGGCATTTGCTATCCAATGAATATATTCACTATCACTAGTGAACTAAGTAATGATTAACTTCCTCTTCTAGTATCATTGAATTGAAAGGTGTGAATTTTGAGTTGAGAGTTATAAATTTGTTCATATTTCAATATTTTTTCTCGAACAATGCAGGAGATTTGCGTGTCATTTAATTAATATAGAAAAAATACAAGGCGAGCTGGATTTAGAAAGAAACGCAGGTCGCTGAAAAAACAACACCACACACCCCCACCCTAACCGAAAAGGAGAGGGTGGGGTGGTTCTATACATGACCAGGACCTGAACAAAAAACTACTCTAGGCATTAGGCAATCTGGACCCCAATGATCTTGCGAGCAATTCACTAAGCTTTGATGCTCCAGCCATGCACCACAAACTGCACTCATCTCCTATGGTCTGTGTCAGGGTCCGTTCCTAGGGGGCCAGTTGATGTGGCTTGCTGGGGGCGGCTGGTGGCCGGCTGGGGCAGGCGGCGGCTAGGGCGGCGGAGTGCGTGAGGGAGAGAGGAGAGGGGCAGCGATGTGCGTGAGGGAGAGAGGAGAGGGGCGGCGGCAGCTGGAGAGAGGGAGAGGCGGAGATTAGAGAGCAAAGCTCTATTCCTTGATTGATTGAAATAGTTACATTACCCCTATATTTATAGTCCCTTAGCGGACTTGAATTCCAAAAAACTATAAGAAGAGTCCTTATAGATTTGGACTCCTCTTTCTAAAGAAAAACACTCCTATTTCCTAAATAATATCAATCCTTTTTCCTTAACAATTCTCTACTTAAAGGGGCGTACCCAGTACAGAGAACTCCCACTCTGTGCGGGGTTTAGGGAAGGGTGTTAGTGGCAAGCCTTACCCTCGCCTGTGCAATGCGAGGAGACCGCGACTCGAACCCGGGACCTTCCGGTCACAGGCGGTAAGACTCTACCGCTTGCACCAGGCCCGCCCTTCAAAACAATTCTCTACTTATTTTCCCTATTTTTATTCTAGACTTTCCTTTATTCTGAAATCTCCCGGATATTGGGATATTGCGGAGGCGGTGGTGGCCTACCCTCCTGGCCGCGCGCCCTCCTGTCGCGCGCGGGGTGCCCCTGGCGGCGGCCAGGACTGGATTTTGGGGCCCCTCTGGCCCACTAAGCTCGACGTGGGCGGTCTGGATCGGGCGTGTGGCAGTCTGAAGGAGTGTATGGATACTAGGCAAAGCTCCTTCTAGCACACAAGTATTCCAGTGCTTCCAAACTTCCCAGAACGCGAGAATGATGAGAGAATTTAATCATTTCCGCATCTCCTTTGGAACTCCCCTAACAGATTTCTCCACCATTTTGAGAAGAGGACATCTGTTGTAGTGGGAACCACAGCAGATAAAGTGATGATGTGAAGCTTGGTTTGAAAATAACCATTTTGGTATGGATTAAATGATTCATCTTGTTAAAGGTGATGATGTGAAGCTTCATAATAGCTTTCATGCATATGATAGCAATCACTAGATAGGTTTGTAGGTACGTTGCAATGATTTTGTAACCTCATGTAGTGATATGCTTCATTAGAAGATAATTTGATTAGTATTTTGTTCATCCCTTATCCTTTTGCTTCAGGAAATTCTTTGCTATTTCTATGCGATTGAAGTTAACATCAATATGTTTTGTTTTGCATAGGTTAAGATCTGGGAATGTACTTTTTAATTACAAGTACTACAACAATACGATGCAAGAGACTGAAGGTTGTCTCTCCTGTTTCTAGGTTCTGCACATTTTCTTTATTCCATTTTCTTGTGTAAATGTTTTTTAAGTGAAGCAGTAAACATCAATAATATGGTAAAGCACTTTTCTGTGTTATCATTTGTTAGTTAACAAAAGCTATCAACTTCTGGTTGATGGTGATTGTTTTGTTGTTTTGTCGAATCACTTATATTGTGGCTACATGCTAAGAACTACAGAGAGATTTTACTTTGGTATTGGTATGTATTAATGCAGAAGACAACAAACTAGTCTAAGTTTTTGAGAGTATAACACAGATCTCTAATTAACTAACTTATTATGCTTTTTTTTTTTCAAAATTAAGTCATTTATTATCACTTCTATAAACTTGAAAATCAAATGGTTTTATTATCTTCTTAGAAACAATCATTGCACAAGTAATGCAGGCATGTCAGATTAAAAATTGCAAAAGTATGACTTTGATCACAAAAATAGAATATGTAGCTTTAAGTGGAATTGAATTGGGAGCGGGGAAGTCATTCATTTATAAGAAGAAATATTATGAATGGCAGACATCAACTGTTTCTTTAGTTCTTTGTGCCAGATAGGAAATCAATCATTTGCTAGAATGGGGGATAGTAAATATGAGTGGTTTCTTTGATGATAATGTCTAACATGTGACTTAGCCCTTCATGGCTAAACATATGCATTATTCAACTTTTTGTTAAATGCTGATCATGGCCAAGATTCAGAAGTAGATACTTTACAGCCACCTATTGTTGAGATAATTTCCTATTGCTTCTCATTTGTTACTCTTATTTTTAACTGTTCCTTATTTGATTCATTTATTTATTCTTACCAGTCACTGAAGATTTCTCTTGTCCATTTTGTTATGTACGATGTGGAAGCTTCAAGGTTTGAAAGCAAAGTTTCTTTTATATAATATTTGCACATATGTCATTGGTTGCTGCAATGTGCTGGTCATAAGGATTATGCACATTCTTGCTTGCTATGTTTATGACAAAAGCACACATTCTTTTTTTTTCTTGAACACACAGGAGAAAGCACACATTCTTTTATTACTTCACACTGCACAATTGGTTTATCCTATATCGTAGTGAGCCCGTTAGATTTTTTATTCTTTTTTCTTTCTTAATTCACTTGACTCTTAAGTCACATCTAATATAATTGTTTTGGTCATACTAGGGTCTGGGATGCCATTTAAACTCATCGCATGACCTATTCCACTATGAGTTTTGGGTTGGTAAACCTCTGAAATCTCCATTACAAAATCGTCTTCAATCCTCATAGTTTGATAAGTATTATAATTTTATGTTACAGATATCTGAAGAGTACCAGGTTGTTAATGTTAGTCTGAAGGCCGATGCTTGGAGAACCGAGGTAAATTTACGGCAGCTATAAAGTTTAAGCTGTTTTTCAGATTCAATTTCTGTGTGGTATATGGGGTTGTAGTTGATGAATTTTGTACTTTACATGTGTTTAACTTAATATGTCCCTCAGTGTTCTTCTAAAGGTTTGTTTAAATGGGGGCTCCAACTTAGTTAGGCAAATGAAGGGCATTGCATGTTCCTTAGTCCAGCATGACTCCCTGCTTTGTGATTTCCTTCCTTTGTTGAGTACAGAAGCCAAGGATGAAAGAGCATTGGCTATTCCATATCTCCCATAACATTGTGTACCTCAATGGTTTTTCTGTGGATAATGTTTTACATGCTTAGCAATGCATGGTGACTGTTGCTTTAAATGGAAGCACTCTTATAATAACTAATGATCCTAACTGGCAGCTTATTGCTGAGGGCGTTGATCCGAGGCATCAAACGTTTTCTTACCGGTATGCTCATTCTGCATTGCTTTCTGAACATCACCACTCATTGTTTTGGTTACCTAACCTAATTCTGTTACATCAGCTCAAGGTTTAAGAAGCGTAGACGATCAAAGACCACAACTGAGAAAATCAAGCATGTACATTCACATATTATGGAATCAGGGTCACCTGAAGATGCCCAGGCAGGATCTGAGGACAACTGTGTGCAAGGGGAGAATGGTACATTGTCATTACACGGTCACTTTAATTGGTACATGTATTCTTATCATTATAAAAAACAGGGACCACATAAACAACACTTCTTTCTGTTACAAGGTTTTTTTTTTTTGAAAAAATAACTCTGTTCTTTCTCCTGTATATTGTTTAAATATGTCCACTCATGGAAAAGATGCAAATTATTAACCATTTGTGTGGTCTCCTTTCTTAATTCAGTTTGATAGTTCTTTGTTGTACAATATCACATTGTGCTTAGAGCCTTTTTGAATATTTGTTGCAGCGCGTTCTGCCTTCATGGTGCTGTAAAAGTTGAACGTCTACTGTATGAACTGGCTGTTCTGATTTGCAATTATCATCGATTTGCATGCTGAGAAAATCTGCATTGTTGGCCTGCTGTAGCATTTGTCTGGGACTCTGGGCCCTATTCCCTTTGTTGCCTACTTTTCCTGACCCAGATGGTAAACTTTTCAGGGACTTCTGTAGCAAATGCTTCGATTGATCCTGCTCAATCTTTACATGGCAGCAATCTTTCACCACCAACAGTACTACAGTTTGGGAAGACGAGGAAGCTATCTGAGCGAGCTGACCCTAGAAAGTAGTCCTTTGTACATTCTTGATACCATGTTACTCGTCATGATATTGTTCCTTATGATACTACAATTAGAATGTGGTTAATTTATTGTTTGTTTTGTATTATCTTGCAGTCGGCAACTCCTGCAAAAACGGCAGTTCTTCCATTCTCACAGAACGCAGGTGAATGAAAATTATTACTCTTTTCATCTATCTTTGTTCGCGCACACTTGTGGTAGAACCAGCGCACATTTGTGTGCTCAATTAGGTTAATTGATTAAACTATTTTTCTCCGAAACAAAAATGATAATGCATTTTTATGTTTGTGGCAGTTCCATTAGTCCTTAACACCCATCATGTAAAAAAAACTCGAGCTGCGGAGGGTAACGCAACCCCCGGGCATCATCAAGAAGAAGACCTTCTCACGCAGGTCGAGAAAACCCCTGAACCCCTACCCCACCCATACACAGCGGCACCGTAGCCCATGTGAGAACAACCACGACCGAGGATGGACCTTAGACCTATGCTTTGGCGTGGGACAGACGAGAAGATCTTTTTAACCCTAGCCTGAAAATTCACTCCCACGGGGAGTCGAGGAGTGCTACTCAAGTCACCTAACCAACCCAGCTAGAGGCTCTTTCGCTTAACACCCATCATGTAACTCATATGCATACCAATGTTATCAAGCTGTCTAGTCGATCCTAGTCGCCATGGGACCGACCAGGCGACTAATCGTGATTAGTCGTCGACCAGGGTGATTAGTCGGTCCTAGTCATCAGTCATCACCTAGTTGTCCTATATATACCAGGACTAATATACCAAATATACACTAATATACTATATGTTCTAGAGTACAAATCAAACATGAAGATAGCTCTAAAGGCGGTAGCTGCATGTAGGGTTGCAAATTGGGCCGAAAAACATGAGCCTGAGTGGCTTAAGCCATCCCAGATGTAGCCCATGTCCTAAGCTGCCCAGCTATTGCATTTTGTTTCTGGCCGTCCACCCCCTAGTCGTCTGATTAATCGTGATTAGTCGATGGCTAGTCGGATGACAAGAAAACTAATCGGCCTAATCGAGTCGTAGCCCCTAGTTGAGTCCAGGATACCGACTAGGATGACTAATCGCGATTAATCGTGATTAACGGATGACTTCATAACACTGATGCATACATTGGATTGTAATTGTATACAATAATTTTCTGGGTTCCTGTACTTCCTTGCTGATAATATTTGTCTGAACAACGAAATAATAGCTGAACCTTGGTGTTTTTAACAACAAAACCTTTTAGTCCCAAGCAAGTTGGGAAAGCTAGAGTTAAAACCCAACATGAGTTACCAACCAAAAAGGGAAAAGAAAGACAAATTTATATAAGCCATCAAACTTTTTTTTAAAAAAATTGTGATTTCGGTCTGATGTAGACTAAAGGACCCCCTCAACTGCCAAATCCTTTTCAACTCAAAACAGTGGTCTGGGAGGATGTTTGCAGACCTATGGAATAATACCTTCTGAAAAGAAAACACTGGCAGCTTGAGTGTGAGATGTTCTAACCACTGTCCAATACAGCCATCAGCCTTTGCTAGAATTTTACTGATCTATAGTAACATGATGTTTGACATTACAGCTTGAAGGTGGGAACCAGTTTGGTACCAAAAATTGAACCCTGCCTGAACCCAGGTCATGCCACTAGGTTTGAAAAATTTACAACCCAAGGCCAACCTTCTATCCATTTCCCTTCCCCTTCTGAGCCCCAATGCTCCTCCAAAATATTAGCTAGCCTACTAGGTGAAACATATGGATTCACAGGCCAGAACATGGTTCCTATTATTTCTAGCTTTGAGGCAAATTCCATTAGCTATCTGTATGATGTGATTGATTTTATGCCACCACTATAAAGAAAGTTATAGGTAAACTATTAGCCAACAAAATGGACCTTTGTTTTTTTATTTATACTAGGGTGTTTTTGCTGGTTGTGTGGGTGGGTGCCACTCCACATATAACATACTTAGGCTGTCACGAAAAATATTAGCTAAGGACTAATTAAATTTGGAATTTGGTCTTCCATGAAACTTCAAACTGCATGGAAATATGACAGTGATCTAGCTGGGAGGCATGCAGAAATATTTGGACAGTATGATCCTCCATTCCAGTCCTGTGTTTCTCACATGTTATTTGTTTTGATGGTGCTCTAATGTCTCATTTTTCCGAAATGCATTGTTAATTAAATCATGCAAAGTTATAGTTAAGTGATCTGTTTGTCATGTGATGTTATTTTATTATGATGGCTAATAACATGGGAAACAAGTTACACAAATTTAGTAGTAGATTTTCCAAAATGAAAGCTGCCAAACACTTTTTCGTTAGATTCTTCGCACTGTTGTACACATATGGTATGCCTTCATTGGAAGTCTTGCCTGATTGTATCATTATAATTCATTGTAGCCAATGCCACTGGAACAAGTGTTCTCGGACCGTGATAGTGAAGATGAAGTTGATGACGATATTGCTGACTTTGAGGATAGAAGAGTAAGATATGACATTGTTATCGCTGAAACATTGAATCTATGCATGTTTTTACATCCACTTGAGCTCGAGTCATTTCTGCCTAGCTGTTCAATTATTGTGAATTTTAATTTTGCCGACTACGTGCAGATGCTTGATGATTTTGTTGATGTTACAAAAGATGAAAAACTTATTATGCATATGTGGAATTCATTTGTTCAAAAACAAAGGTTAGTCCTATCCACAAATTCCCATAAATTTGACTATCATAATAGGCAGGTGTGATTGATTCTGCTGTTACTATTTATAGTTAGTTTGTGCAGATAAGCAGCTTGGTGAACTACAATTTTCTCACTTATGTTCAGTTTTAGCCATTTCCATATGGAGCAGCAGTTACTGAAAGCAATGGAATTGCATGGTAAAAACTAGATTGGTTATGGAGACATGGAGTACATGTACATATATCGGCAAGGATGATCTAGGGTTGGTTTATAGAAGTATCACCACCGTTGGATATCCTTGCCTATCAAGATTAGAAACCAATCTATAGAAAACCATAATGGGCTCAAGGCCCAGGCGCAACCACTAGACACAACCAATAAGGCCTGACCGACTATCTGACTAAAGCCCCCGGGAGTATGGATCGGAACTCTTTGAAGACCATCGATGGCAACCCTTTGGTGAAGATGTCAGCATACTAGGATCGGGACATGTAGAACACAGACAACACCAATAGCAACGTGTTCCTGAACAAAGTGAAGATCAATCTCAATATGTTTGGTGCGTTGATGCTGAACTGGATTGGAGGACATGTAGATGTAGACAACGCTAATGTTGTCACAATACACCAGGGTGGCAGGGTGAGGCGGGGAGTGGAGCCCACACAAAAGCTGGCGTTTGGAGGACCAGGAGATGAGATATCCTTGAGAAAAACTGCATAGCCTGAGGTGGACTTGCGAGTGTCAGGACAACCAGCCCAGTCGACATCGGAGTAAACTACCAGATCAATCTATGCTGAAGGCCGCAAGAGAAGCCTGTGATGGAGAGTATCGTAGATGTACCTCAGAATGCGCTTGAGAGTTGCAAGATGAGGGTCCCTTGGATCGTGCATATGCAGGTAGACTTGTTGAACAGCTTAGGAGATGTCCGGTTTGGTGAAGGTGAGATACTGTAGAGCACATGCCAAACTCTGAAAGTCTGTAGCGTCACTGACTGGAGCACCGTCTGTAGCCGACATCTTGGCACAGGTGTCAACGGGCATAGAACACAGCTTGTAATCAACTGTGCTGGTCAAGTATCTCAAGCATGTACTGACGCTACAAGAGAAACAAACTGTTAGCACGGCGATGAACCTGCATCCCGAGAAAGCGATGGAGTTCACCCATATCCTTCATAGAGAACTCTTGCTGCAAGGCAGTGATGGTGTGGTGCAACAAAGCAGCTGATGATGCAGTGAGGACAATGTTGTCAGCATAGAGCAGCAAGTATATGATGTCATCTCCTCGGCGAAACATGAAGAGCGACGTGTCTGACTTGGCCTCCACAAACACAGGGGAGATAAGGTAGGCGACAAACCATCTATAGCACGCACAGGGAGCCGGTTTGAGATAATATACCGAGCGGTTGAGGTAGTCTGGATGCACTGCATCCTCGAACCTAGAAGGCTGAACACAGTAGACCGTCTCAGGCAGGTGGCCGTGCAGGAAGACATTCTTGACGTCTAGCTGGTGGATGGGCCAATTGTGAGAGTGCTAGAGAGAGCACCATCCGGACGGTGGCCGGCTTCACGATGAGGCTGAAGGTCTTGGTGAAGTCCACACACGGGCGTTGAGTGAACTCACGAAGTACCCAGCAAGCTTTTTAGTGCTCGAGGGAGCCGTCAACACGGAACTTGTTGAAGATCCACTTGTTGGAGACCATGTTGGCATGCGAAAGGATGCGGCACGAGATCCCAAGTGTCATTTTGCAGGAGGGCAGCGTGTTTGTCCTTCATGGTGGCACGCTAATTGGGATCAGCAAGCGTAACATGATAGGCCTTCGGCATCCAGGAGAGGGGCGTTGTATGGTACAAGGTCAGCACCAGGAAACCATGCTTCGCCCTAGTGGCCATGGGGTGTTGGTTCTTCGCCGGCAGAATGGCCATCGCGCCCTTGGGCAGGGTCGCCGGTGGGGCAGACATAGGGGAGGCCGGCGAGGATGCAGCCACTGCAAGCACAAACAGGTGCCGAGAGTACACCTTGTGGAAGGTACGGACCGGTGAGGGGAGAGCCGGTGCCAGGGCGGCTGCCGGGGCCGTGGGTGTCGTTGAAGGACAACTAGCCGCATTCGGCTAGAGTGGCGAGGAGGGGCTGCACATGGCAATGCTATTGGGTCTCTAGAGATAACTGCCGCATGGCAGTGCCGATGTCAAAGGGACAGATGTGTCCCCTATAGGTGTTGGCATGGGAGCTGCCAATGGAGGTGACGGTGGGGATGAACTTGCAAGCAACAAATAGTGTGATAGGCATATGGGCACCGACATAGGGTTAGAGAAATCCTCCAAAAACTTGAATTTCGTGTGGGAAGGTTTGTCGGGCTGCTCGGCAAAAGGAAAAGAGGTCTCGTCAAAGATCACATGGCAGGATATGATCTTATTGGAGACGGTGCCAAGACAGTGGTATCCCTTGTGTTGAGTGGAGTAGCCAAGGAGGACACAAGGAGGAGCGAGGAGTGAGTTTGTGGGTAGCTGTGGCAGACAGGTTGGGATAACATTTGCAACCAAAAACGCGTAGATGATCGGGGTGCCATAGTGCTCCTGATTGGGGGTGGAGGATCGTAACGTTTTGGTGAGCAATATGTTGAGAAGTAGCAGTGATGAGCGCCTCTACCCTGTAAGTTGGGGGCATGCTAGCTTGGAAAAGGAGGGAGCGGATGACATTGTTGAGAGAGCGAATGGCACGCTCAGCCTTTCCATTCTGAGCTAAGATGTAGGGACACGGCATGCGAATGTGGATGCCACGGGTGAGGAAGAAGGTGCGGGCGCTGGAGTTAGCAAACTCACGACCATTGTCGCATTGAAAAACTTTGATCGTGGCGCCGAACTATGTGGAAACGAAGGCAAAGAAATTAGACAAAGTATCAAAAGTGTTAGATTTCAGGCACAAAGGAAATGTCTAGAGGTTGTGAGGCACATCATCGAGAATCACCGAGTAGTGTTTATAAGCAGACACTATGAACCGGGGAAGTCCAGAGGGCATAATGCACTAAATCAAATACATGGGAAGCACAGGCGCCCACGCTGACAAGCATGACACAATGAATCTCTAAAGGTCTTATTTCAAGCCACTAATTTAGATTGGGTCTCGAGACCAAGGTGTCCGAGACAACGATTCCACAATGTCGAGGAATCAGTGAAATAGGCAGCAGCCGCAATAGGATGGTCAGATATTCGATTTAAATTTGTCAAATTCTGAGCACCAAAACATTAAGGGCATGTATGTTTTCATAGAAATATTGGAAAATGTGTATTAGTTCGAGATATTTTAGATATAGCGTTGTAGATATAAGATTTGACATTTCTTTCATACCTTAATCGATTCTTTCATACCTTTATAATTAGTTATGCTTCTGTGTTAAGCATGCTTTTTTGTCATGCTTTGTTGTTTTCAGTCCTATCTAGACAAACTGATGACTTTACTGTTTTCTTTTCTATATGTAAATCCAACTTGCATTGGATTTGCTAGCTATGTTATTTGATCTTTGTACTAATTGTTTAGAAAATCAAAATTGCAGAGTGCTAGCGGATGGTCATATACCTTGGGCCTGTGTGGCATTCTCTCAGTTGCATGGACGACAACTTGTACAGAATCCTGCTCAATTGTGGTAAATGGATGATTTGGAAGTCTGTTAGTCAAAATCTTTTCATTACCGTGTATTGTTATTTATTTAATTACAATTTGTTTTCTTAATGAATAGGGGCTGGCGTTTCTTTATGATTAAACTTTGGAATCACAACATTTTAGATGCCCGCACCATGAACACGTGCAACACAGTCCTTCAAAGTTTCCAAGAAGAAAGCACAGGCCTAAAGTAATTTTGATGCTTCAGATGAAAGATTTAAGGGAAGAAGATTTTATAGTTTCCAAGAAGGCATAGAATTGAAATAACTTTTCAATGATCATTTCATTTAAAACTGTTGTCAATTGTATTAATTGTTGTTGAAAAGAGACGTAGCAGGTTTAATTTCCAAACTGTAATATTCTGGATAATACTTGAATTTGATGAATATTCAATGTTATTTCATTTAGAGTTATTGTATCGAGATCCCGAAGGTATTGTGATATTTTGATGAGAGAATCATGTATTTGGCAATGAAACAAATCAGTCTTTCGTATTTGGCACTTAAAAATTTGAACTTTCTTATCTGGCACCAAGTTAAAATTTCCTTCCCTATATGGCACTACCGTCTATTCATCTGTTAGTTGACTATTTTGACCATGTTAGTTTTTTCTTAGTGATCAACATACCATCTGTTACTCACGCATCCAATTTCTCCCTGGACTTCCCGAGCGGCCGAGCGCTCCTGTCTTCCGTGAGTCGTGACTTCTTCCCCAAAAAAAACACCAAACCCTAGATTGATGGAAGGAGGAGAGGATGATGGATGTAACATCTCTGGTGTTTTGACCTAGCACTAAAATTTGACATGTCATCATATGCATTGGAAAGTATTCATAGAGTAGAAAATTTTGAATGCATTCACTAAATAAGGTTTATTTCATAATGTTGTTATTTTATGTGATGTGTTTCAAAACCCTAAATAAAGATCATGACCACAAGGGTCAAATTTCATGTGATCATGTGAGGCCATGTGTCATTTGACTCAAATAACCCTAATGGGCCATGTTACTGGTCAAAAATCAAAGTTAAAGTAAAAGAAAGACAAATCAAATTTGAATTCAAATTCAAATTATAAAAGTCCTTTTTGCCCCTTTTGACTAATTCAAAATCCATGTGGAATTTGGGGTTGAGGCAAAAAGCAAAGTTGAAGATTTTTTTTTATGTGGATCAACTTTGGTATTCAAAGTTTTTCAAGTTTACATATAAAATTTGGAGTAATTTTGAAATGATTCAAATACTCAAATGCACCCCAAATTCAAATTTCAAAATGGAGGCATAATTTGAAAATGTTCATTGAAGCAAAGTTGTAGAGTTTGAAAAGTTGAGCAACTTTCATATTTGGAGATTTTCAACTTCTTTAGAAAAATTGAGAGTAATTTGCAAAATGAACTCGGTGGCAATTCTGTAATTTCTCGGAACAGTAGCCCGACCATCGCCCCACCGCCGGCGTCCTTTCTTCGTTCTTCCAGGCGCGTCTGTGACCGCCCTTGTCTTCGCGCTGGCACGGGGAGCACTCTGCGTGTCGAGTCCGCGCGCTCCTGGCCGAGCTATAA